TAAAGAAGCTTCTGCAGTTGCCCTTAAAACCACCATCTGCATATATGGATCATTTTGCTTTTCATTGTTAAGATAACACATTGATTGTTGTCAATATCAAGAGAAAATAATTTACCATATTTAAAAAAGGGGTATTAAAAGTGAGAAAGGAATATACAAGGTATATTTAATAGAAATATATTTTATTCGATGTCGAAAGTGAAAGACATATTAAGAAGTTTATTCTCGTTCAATATTCGAATAAATACTGTTTGCCCCACACGCTTTACATCAGAAATCATTTATGTTAACACATTATTACTTACTAATTTAGTACATTATTTGTTTAATCAAATATGACTGAAGTTTTATACTGTGGAAGATTGATTACCCTTCCTGACCAACTTCAATCACCTTAAAGTAGTGTTCGTACATTTCAGTGTAGTTTTTTTTAGAACTGTTGTTTGTCTGTCCTACTTTTTTCGCTTTGTTCATGGTGTTATATGTGTGTTTATTGGAAATGTAGGAATCATCTTGTCCCAACACCCATTTGTGTTTTGTTCTTTCCATTCATATGTCTATCCATTAGTCTAAAAAGACATTGTAATGAGCAATACTCCTCTTACATCGCATGGTAAGTTTTAGTAAAGTTTAAAGTTTTAAAGTGCACATTTGCATATTGTACAGGAAGGGATTTTATTCATAATAAACACATTCAAATAGAGTTAAATAGCAATAGGAAGCAATTCAAATTCACCATTATAGTCCTGGTTGTAAGTGATCTCATTTTTAACGCTTCTTTGTCATACATTTAAACATAAAATTTTGTATGTTTTTTTTCTAAGGTCAAATAATAACAGACACTTATTGCAGTTATGAGATCTTCTAACCATTAGAAAACCAAACGAACAGATTATAACATGCAAAGCATTGAAATGTAAAAAACGATTTTACTTATTCGTGTTATTGTTTGGATAAAGTTTTAGAGGTTTGAAGTCAGTTTTTAAAAAAAGACAATACTTCAAATCAACTAATTTTGGCATCCAATTTATTTATGTGACTTTTGTGATTAGAAAAATAACGCAATAGAATTAACCTCGTTCTCGTTAGTATGAAAATAAAGTGTGAAAATCATAAAAAAAAATCGCTGCCAGGTCAACAACAGTTGGGCTTACCGCAGCACAATGAAAAGTGCTATGTTTTGTGAGAGGTTGTCTACTTTTACAAAACATTCTTGATGATACTTGGTTGAATTGTTGGTTAGACACATACCAACTATTTTTTTTCTTTATAGCTATTTATTCTATATGTAATAATTTAACTATTTAATAAGTCTAATCATAACTATAATTATTGCGAATTGCTAGAATTTTCAAATCAAAAGAAATAGATTGTAAGTCAATGTAAATACAATCTTCATAGATACCAGGCTTAAAATGTTGTACGACAGACGCGCGTTTCGTCTACAAAAAAAATCATCAGTGACACTCGAATCAAAAAAGTTAAATAAAGGCAACAGTAGTATATAGAAGATCTCATTAAAAAAACCAAATAAAGCGCGAAGTTAAAGAGCATTGAGTACTCAACATTTGGAAAGGTTTTGTCAAATACAGCTAAGGTTATCTACTCCCGGGGATGGAAAAGCCGTAGTATTTGTAAAAATGAAATGTTTTATAAACAGTTAATTTATAACTATGACCATATCAGTGATAATCCATGTCAACGCAGAAGTGCTGACTACTGGGCTGGTGATAGCTTCGGGTAGGAAACCCCCACCAGCAGTGTCATCGATCCAGTGGTTGTAAATAAACTCTTAGATACCAGGCTTAAATGATGTACGCCAGACACGCGTTTTGACGCTCGAATCAAAAAGTAAAAAGAGCCAAATATTGTACGAAGTTGAAGAGCATTGTGGATCTGAAATTTCAAAAGGTTTTGCCAAATCCAACATGCAACTGCATATAACTGCAACATGTCAATTTTTACTAGAATATTGCGTAGTTTGATAGGGTTTCCTACTACGGACAAATACAACGAACATTTTCACCGTCTAGAATATTATAGTTTTAACTTTTTCATCAATGCACGATGCAGTTGAAGCAACCAAGAAAACAATTTTCTGATTTGTTTAAGAGAAGTATTTGAAATTCAACCTTAAAAGTTTTATTAATTTACTATGTAACTATGTAATCATCTATTTATGTATTTAGTTTGTTTGGGCTAGCTTAATACTTATATATAAAGTCCTTTATTTCTTTTAATAATAATCATGAAATAACAAACAAAATAACAAGAAATGACAAAAAGAGTGTTTAACAGGCTGGCACCTCAACTATATATTGAAATTTGAATTAGCGCCCTAAATTCACCTTAAAGGCATGAATCCCGCGTGTTTTATTGCCTTCATACATTTTTGCATTTTTAAATTGTGTTTCTTCAACCTTATATTGACTATATAATTTGTTTTCACGTAAAACAGCTAAAAAGCAATCTTTTTTGCAGATGGTTGTATTTTGGGCAACTGCATAGGTTGTTATGATTGGTTGCGTAATTAAATGTAGCAAGAAGCGTGATTGCAGTAATATGATGATGCCAAAAACGTCCTTAGCACCAAATGAAATATGTCATCTAGTTTTATGGTGATTACCAATTAAATCACAGACAAATATTTTGATTTTCACTCATTTTTATCATTTTCACTGTAATTTCTGGAAAAGGGCGCTATTAATTAAAAATACGTCATTAATATTTTAAAGTGTGTTTGATAATTGACAATCCTTCACTGAATCGGGACAGTGGTGTAGTATCACAACATAAGAAAATCAGTTGCAAAGGGCATAACTCATCTGTATAATAATTTTATTTAGATACAACAGTATCAAGCAAGATTTTTCTGAGATTTTTCCCTTTTTTCTTTATTTTGTTCCATTGCAACCATTTTCCAATTTCTTCTGATGTTGCTATCCTATATTTTTTTTTTTGTTTTTTTTTACTCTATTAAAACATTTGATTCATGATATTGATCGGGAACAGGTGCTTTGAACGCAATAAATAAGATGCATATTGTTATATTAGATGAACTATTATATAATGTTTTATAGACAGATATACTGAGGGTGTTAAACATACATCATGCATGGAAGAAATTTTAATTGAAAGTAAAATTAATTCCGGCTTAAACTGACGTTTGATATTAGGTAATCGGAATTCTCTAATCTAAAAGTTAGGCTCAAATGATAACATTCATTGTAAAGTGTATTTAATTTTATTTTATTCCTCTGTGATGCTGTAAGTAGTCTATCTACAGCTGTGTTTTTCAGATGCTACGTTTTAATGCTATTAAAGTAGTTGATAAAATGTAAAATGTTCCTGCAAAACAACAAATACATTTATTTTGATTGAACGCTTTTTGTCCAAAAATACTTTTATTTCTTAACAGTTATTGCTTTTGTATATTTTATATGGTACATTTTATGCCGAACTTAATTTTGTAATTTATTATCTGTTCAATTGTTCAGTTGGTCCACGATTCATTTTTTTTTTTGTTCGACTCGGCTAACAATATTGACTTACACTAGTGTATTGTTGGAGAATGAGTTTTGACATTTTTATCTATTCTTTTGTGTCGTTGGTTTGCTGTCTCATACCCACATCTCCTGGTAATTACATCGGAACAATTGCCATCGGACAATGAAACCAGAACCTAGTATTATATATCAGAAGATGAGGCAAAGCAAATGCGATCCACGTCCACAAAGCAATATGATCCACATCAGCAACGCAATACGATCCATGTCAAAAAAGCAATTTGATCTAAGTCAACAAAGCAATACGATCCACCTCAACAAACAATACGATTCACATCAACAGAACAATACGATCCACATGAACAAAGCAATATATTCACATTAACAAAGCAAGACGATCCAAATTAGCAAAGCCATATGATCCACATCAACAACGCAATAAGATCAACATCAACAACGCCAAGTTATCCATACTTACAAAGCAATACGATCCACATAAACAAAGTAATATAATCCAAATTATGACAATGTTATATGATCCAAATCAACAAAGCGATATAATTCACATCAACAAACAAAAGTATCCACATAAACAAAGCAATATAATCCACATCAACAAAGTAAAACGCTATATTTCAATTTGAAAAAAGTATACCTGTATTTCAACGGTCAGAAATTACAGTGAAACTTGATATTATTTGTTAATTGTAGACTTTGCAGCCTATTAAAAAATAGCCGGTATGCCTTTGTGAGATTTTCTCTATAAGGCTACCGAGAATTCAACCAGTAATACATACATGTACCTATTTATATTTGTATGTCTTGTTTTGTTGAGATGGATACAGACTAATCTAATTATTGATTGATTGATTGATTGATTGATTGATTGATTGATTGATTGATTTATTGATTTATTTATTTATTTATTTATTTATTTATTTGTTGATTGATTGATTGATTGATTGATTGATTGATTGATTGATTGATTGGTGTTTGCTTTACGCCGCTCAGCATAAAAAGACTATACCGCAACGATATAAAACGTATTAATGATAGATCGCCGCGATATAGCCTTTATTTGTGTTGATGCGGCGTAAAGCAATCACCAATCAATCAATCAATCAATATTAATGATAGACAGCAAATACGACAACAATGAAACTATGTAACGCATCAGTTCATATTGTTCATAATACGAAAGACATGGTAAAAGTTTTTCATTTCAATTATTTAACTTGTCAATTCTGAAATTATTTGAATCTTAACGTTTAATTTAGGACGATGACATTTCAGACACAAAATATGTCCTTGCTATTTATATCTATATGTGCAAAATGTTTGCAAAAATATATCGATGACAAATTTTAACCTCAATAAAAAAAACAGTAATTCAGACATGGTTAACCAAATGTGTGTGTGGTTTTTTTTTGGTTTTTTTTTTTGCACTCTCTCATAATGAACAGCCATTTTAAATATGTTTTGTTTGTTTTTCAGGTCAAATGATACCATTCCTTGAGATTCTGGTGACACATGCGTCTATTCTGATCATGCTTGGGATAAGTTATGGCCGATATTTTGCAGTGTGTTATCCTTTAGAAAGTTATTCTACATGCAGTCGAACTCGTGCCTTTATGATGATGGCGTCGGCATGGATTTTTGCGGGAATTTCAGCTATGCCGTTCATATTCATGTCACACACCGAAACGGCAAAATTCACAAATGACAATACTGAGGTGACTGTTTGTCGGACACATATTTCTCAGGTTTGGCAACGAATATTTATCGTTGTAAGTTTTATTGCTTTCTTTGTAATTCCGTGCTTTATTTTAGCTTTCGTTTATTCAAAAACAATATACACAGTGATTACAGAATCGAAGAAAATCGAAAATGCTACAAATGTATCGAAACAAAACTCGATGAAATCAAGACAACAGCTAGTTGTTATGCTGTTGATGATAGTCATTCTTTTCTTTTTGTTTGTACTGCCCATGCGCATAGTTATATTATGGCTAGTATTCGAAAATCCTCGTACTATTGGATCTCTCGGGTTCGAAGGTTATTATAACATAATTTGGATCGCCCGAGTGTTGCAGTACACTAACAGTGCAGTGAATCCTATAATATACAACGTTTTTTCTGTCAAATTTAGGAAAGCCTTTGCTAAACTTTTATTTTCAAGCAAACGTCAAACACGGCAGCTTTCGTTGACAAGCAGTGGTGGTAGGACAGCTATTAGATACAGTTTTGTTAAATCTTCAATAAAAGAAACCGAATTTCATTGAAAACACGCCAATAACGTCATAAAGTTACTCTATTTTTATTTTTAGAGTTGTTGATGGTAATATAAACCTTTGCTATAGTATCTGTTTAATTTATTCGCAACTTTTTAGACTAGATTTAGAAATTTACACTTGTGTACTGTTGAAGACTGTATGTTGCGTTTAGTTTGGGGGGGGGGGGGGGGGGGGGGGGTTGTAATTTTGAAAATTTAGTGTTAACCCCAAGAACCGGTTTGGCCACAGCATAACAATTTCAAGTTTATTCACAATTTACACAGTGTGTATATGTTAAGTATGTTTAAATGAACATATGTTCTCATAGTTTAGGACTTTACTCATTATAGGTTGAAAAATACAGGCAAACGTTACATGTTTATGAAGTGTCCTATATTTTGACTTTAGTGGAACTTTAAATGAGAAAATTAATATAAAATTATTTCTTTAGGCAGGGTTGGACTATGTACATAAGAATAAAGACGGGTGTTTGAAAAATGTCAAGCAGTCACAATTACTTTATCAGTTCAAAGATGCAGTTAGCCCATAAAACGTTCAAATGACGTGAGAAATCATAATATAGTAAAAGAGTATTTCTGGTAATGGAAATGGTATGGATCAAACGTATTATCAAAATGTTTACACAGTTCAACAGACCATACCAAGCACCAACAAACATTCATTACTACCACCAACTTCCAACCACAACAACTACATACAAATAACCATACGAACTATTAATTAGCAACCAAACCATCCCCAACAAACAATCTTACCAACAACCACCAACAAAGAATTATATTAACCACCAACAAATAAATCAAACCAACCTTCAACATACAATCACACCAACCACAACAACAAAAAATGCCAACCACCAACAATCAACCATACTAACTTCAATAACCAACCATAGAAACCACCAACAACAAACTAAAAAAAATAATGGAAGGTCGATACCACTCATTGTAGGAATTAAGAACCAAAACACAAATACTTATGTATATTGCGTCAATCTTGTCAAATAACACAGTTGTAACGTTCAACTTAATTGGTGGTTTGCATACAAAACTGGAAAAAAAAAGATATTGCACATATATTGTTACATAAATATATCCACAAGGTAATATTATAAGAAAGGTCTTTTGTAACATTTCTTGTGGCTACTTAAATATTCTCCTAACACGTATAATTGCAATTAAAAATCAAATATCAAGAAGACATAAACAAAATGTTGAAAAAAATGTTTCAAAAAATTTATATTGAAAAAGACAAATACGATCGTTTGGACATGTTATATCTGGAATTTTCTTCTTTTCTTTTTTTTTTTCCTATGAACTTTGCGCTTAATAAAAAACATCATGTCAGTTGTGCTTATTGTATTATATCATAATGAAGGATTGAGTATAAATTTGAACGTACCATTTGGGGTTTGGGAATAACGACATTCTGGAGAGAGTTCAATTAAAATTCTGTAAGCTTCTTCTGCACCTAAAGTCTTCTACCCCAAATTGTGTAATATATGGTGAACTTGGACGATATCGTTAAAGTCCGTATGATATCATTTTGGGTGAAATTAGTATGTGGTAAACCGACTAAATTATCAGCTACCATTTATAAACTACTGTATAAGCTGTCATATGAAAACGATGTAACATTTATTTGGTTAAATCATGTAGAATCTATTTTTGGGATTATCTTTTGTGTGGTTATCTCAAAAATGTATAAGCGACATTTGGTTTAAGAATACCATCAAAAAATCACTTCAAGATCAGTTTCAAAAAACATGGTTTTCAAATGTGCAAGCATGTTTGAAGACATTAAACTATCGAATTTTTAAGGATACTTTTGGCTTTGAGAACTATTTTGATATTTTAGAATTTCGCGATATTTACACTTTATGCAAATTTAGAACCATTAACCATAAATTACCTATTGAGATCGGGAGATGGAAAAATATTCAGAGAGAAAGAAGAACTTGTGAATTGTGTAATTCAAAAGATCTTGGAGATGATGAGTTTCGTTATATTATGAAGTGTAAAGATGTGTCAGTAAAAAGAAACACATGTATTGATGAAAAGTATGTATCTCGCCTAAATATATTAATGTTTAAGGAAGTTATGAATTTAACTCAAAAATCTAAACTGAGAAAGCTGTGTACCTTCATTAGATACCGGTTCATTAGATATATAATTTCCCATGTGCGCTCTCCTGGCTAAATACAGTCAGTATTATTGTAAATAGTGTACATATTTTGCTCTGTGTATTTATGTATTTATTATCTGTATTTATTAATGTCATGTAGTGTCTGTATATTATTGTAAATGCAAAGGTTTGACAGAATAAAGATATATATATTAAACCATCGACGATGAGTTTGTTGGCTTGTAAATCATTAAAATGGAATAACAATGATAGGCTACAAATTTTAATTAACGCAGAGCTTGTATCGTCAGCTTGCAGTCACATTGACGTTTAATTTATCAATATTTTCCGCAATGTTATCCAAAAATCATATCCAGTAGTAAGTAACGTGACCTGGAACAAGACATATGACAACTAGTAACAAACATATCCTGTAATTCAGTGGTTGTCGTTCGTTGTTGTCTGTCATGTTATTTTTTTTATTAGCATTTAGGCATTAATCAGACGGTTACTGTTTTGTTTGATTTGTTTCACTTTTTGTTATGTTAATGAAAATAATGATTTTGTTTTACGCAATCATTTATTTCAGGAGTTTAAAAATTAATTAACAGAGTGAGATAAGATTAAACCTTTCGAATGTGTGTCGTCAATGGCTGTTACTGTCATTTAGTTCTTAAACGACATTATGTTTACGACATTACTCTTAAATCTACATGAAAATGTTCAATTAATGTTAGACTTTCTTCAATATTCGTGTTATCATTTCTTTTACATTCTATACAATTCCTTGTTGACTTATACTAGCAAAGAAATGATTAGAGCCATATGAATATTTATGTTCTTTTATTTTGTGGATATAGTTTGTCGTCGTTTTGTATTCCGATAGGAATTTACTTTGAGTTTTTTGTATCAAAGATTAGATCCCTTGCAATAATGGTTTGAATTATACAGTTTAATGTCAGAGGTCCTTACAAAATACAACGGGAAGCTATTTAGACGACTTATTTTCGACCTCATTTCATTCGTACTAAAATAAATATTTTCTGAACTAACTAAAACAAACAACAAACAAGAAAATGGGTTGTGCGTTCGTTACAAAGATCGCATAAATTTTATATAATGAACGAGTCAACAAAAAACAATAAAGATCATACATATGTATCAATGTCAACATGTTATATATTAATCACATAAGTATCCAGAGTACAAAGCTACTACTAGAAGGAGGGAGAGGGAGGGAAAGTTAACGCAAACAACTAGAATATTCTTATAACACGTCCTTGCCAACTTTGTAACAAACGTCGCATTAATCGAACGGACCCATACAAATTCTTTATATACCCTCAACCGAAACCACCCGTGCAAAAACATAGCCCGCGAAAAATACCAAGTAAGTGAAACCCCCTTAATGACATAACGGAACGCAAAGAAATAGATTTATTTTCTACCTCATTTCATTCGTACTAAAATAAAGATCGCATAGCAAAGGGGGGTTATAAAAAGGAGGATATTACAAACCCAAATTTAAAGATACCAAAAGCTTTTGTTCAATGCTATCCTTGATATAGCAGTCCTTAGCTCTGTCTATAGCCCAACGCCCATGAACTTTGAGAAGGCGGTCAGGAACCTTGTTATTAGCAGCTGCCGAAACTCCACCACTTCTAAGGCTATGAAGGGCGTAAAGAGAACTATCTAAACCTATATCTTTAAGTGCTGACAGTAGCATCGCTCTACATCTGGTATAAGAAAGGGGTTATTAAGACTTATTAGTAGCTTTGTACTCGCCTGAAGTTTTCATAAGGTTTATGGCAGTAAAGAGAAATTCGTCGGACTTCTCTATAATACCTGCTAACGCAATATATTTTCTTAACCAGAAAACAGGACAAAGCTCGTTGCGTGTTTTCGCAATACTAACCGAATTACCTCTCCTGTATAAATCAGTTTTTACTTTTTGGAATATTAATCTCCAAAAAATTTAATTGAAAATCCAAATCAGACATTCTAATATTAGCTAGTTCACTATATCTTAAAAACCCAGAAAACCCGAGAAGATACATGACACAAGTGCGCAAAAATAATAAATTATGTTTTTCTACCGTATAGTGCTGAACTAGTTTTAATAAAATATCTTTAGTAATAGGCTCCTTTTTATTCAAAGGTTTGCTCAACATTCGTTTTCCGCCTTCCAGAATAAGTGTAAGAAAATCATCTAAACAAGAATTAACGTTGAGAGAAATTTTTTGTAGCCAGTTAATAGAATAAAAATAAGCTTCCAAAACTGAAACGGACACTTTTTGTAGTACAAGTTCTCCTAAAAACAATGCAACTGAAGACACCGATGCAGGTAAAAAAGAAAAATAGTTCTGAATACACCATTTTCGGAATTTTTCAAAATATAAGTCATATTTTTTGTTCGTTCCAGTAGATCTAGCGTTTTTAACTATGGCAGGAAGAGCGTGTACAGATCTAGCCAAATGAGGATGACACTTGTATTTTTCCAGTTCTATCCAGTGGCAAGCCAAGCGTGAAGAATCTGTAAAAAATTATCAGAATAATAAATGATACGGGCATGCATATGAAAGTTAAACATAAAGAATAATAATATAAGTATGTACATGTACATGTATTTGTGAATATTTAAAAGAAAAACAAACTATAAGCAAAATAGCTCAAAGCAATCTTTTCATTAATAAGAATGTGAAATCGCGCATAAATTTTAACTATAAAAAAGCGCAAAACTCTCTTAATTAGGAGTACAGTTCTCCTGTAATATTTCATATATACAAAAACAATAGAGAGTGCAGTCCTCTCTTATAGGGAGCACAGTACTCCACAAATATTTCATATTTCATATTTCGTGTAAATATACATGCATTACTAGTTTTTGGCAATAAAATAGAGTGCAGTTTTC